AGGCGATTAGGCAGGCAAGAGTGCGTTAATGTTCATTTAAATATATAGAAATTTGTCTGATGAAGAGGAATTATCAGTTTGTTACAACATATATCCGTTTCCTAGTTTCTGTTTCTGTTGTAACGATTTGTTAACAATCGTATTTCGGATGGTACGGAGGAAATTTGCATTGTTGCTAAAGTAGATCAATTTTGATTTGACAACAGCGAAAAGTAACAATAGAATGGTTTAAGTAGCAGCTTCCAGCAGCGAAACGCTTTGTCTGGAATCACCATTGTCAAGATATACGAGACTGCCAACAAATTATTTTGGTCACTATCATAAATTAATTTAATAATAAGTGAAACAAAAGACCTCAGACCCTAACCCATCGTATCAACGATAAAGCTGGTCATAAAGTAAATAATTAGTCGGAATTTTTGAGATTTTCATCGCATTGTTTGTAACTTGAGTAACATAAAAAGTTATCTATACTGCTTTAGAAAGTTGATGTTGAATGTTTTTATGCACATCTGCGGGTAACACTTTGAGTTAAACCTAAAACGCAATTCCTGTTCCAGTTAGAGTTTGGGATTTCCTAACCCGATAAACAACTACATCATTGTTTATTGGGTAATCTAGTTTTTGCAACGAACAACATATTCTAGCGCAATGTACAAAAGATCTGCAAAGGTATTTACATATAATTTCTCTCACTTCTGAAGCGCAACGATATCGCATGCGGATATTTTTCGCAAATTATTCAACATATTCTCTAAAGTGACGTCATCAACTTTTTGGTGGGGATACAAATCTTTCCGGAATTTTAGAGAAATCAGATGAGTAATTTCTCGGGTTATTTATGAGTAAATCTATGTAATAATTTTCTGAGATGGAATTACCAATCTTCTGGAATAAATAAGTTTTGCATCACACTTTGTAATACCTAAATCAGAGTCAACATCTAGGCAGTTTGTAGGCATCACCTAATTTTACAATTTTCCATTTGCTTATTATTCCTCATGGTATTTCGATAAGAGCTTGCTAGAGTTAGAAGTTTGTTCATTTTAGTTGTGTACGCAGCTGTAAAGTTATAAACAATTCAATTGTTTATTATTAATTCCAGGTTTTATTCAGAACAAAATTTCTTACAGCAATATTTTCATTCAATTTGTGACAACATTTGTTTTGCGTTAAGTTCTGAATTAATTCGTAATACTTTCAAAACATTGCTATCTAAGTGCTTCTTGTAGCTTTACAAATAAAATACACAAAAATATTTTAGTATGGAAAACACCCTTTATACAATTTTAACTTTAGTGTTGTTTATACTAAGGGTGTTGAAATTGTGGATAATTTTTTCATTAATCAGCAAATTTTTTCGAAGAAGATATTTCTACGTTAACAATTTAATTGTTGGCCTGAATACTAAAAACTGTTTCTGCAGGATCAAACCTCAGAACTCTTATTGTTAATTAGTAGTACCGGATTTTCCCCATTTTAATGTGAAACTTTCTCTGAATACACTAATGCAACGCTTTAGGTGTTAGTTACATAATGAAATCTGTGTAGTTGCAAAAACCATTTTGTAGTCAAACTAATAAAAATACATTAAAAGCGTGAAAACAACCACTCTTTGCTAACAACATTTTTTCTACATTACTCAAATACATTTTGATTTTTTTTTTTTTTTTGAGAAACGGATTACTGTAGTAAACTGATTTTTACTAAAGTTTCAGACACTCTGACAAAATTTTAAATAATTAAAATTAAGACCACATCGATCATATTTTATTCTTCTGTCGAAATTTGATGAGGTCAGAGTAGATTTTAATTTTTCCAAAGCTACAGTTTACAGTTGAAAATAGGTGTAAGTTAAAGCATGAGTAAACAAGTATTACGTGTATTACATTTAAGTTTACATAACAATTTTAGTTCTTTTTCTGACATCTTCGAATTACCCTAAAATACTGCCAAAATTTCAGTTATCCTCACTAGACCGTAAGTGAAAAATAGACAGATGGGAACAAAAAGCACATTCGTATTCTACAAGCTGTGTTAAGTATTTGTCAGTATAACCTAATTACAATAATTTCGTTAGTTATCCCTCGGGAAGTAAAAATATTAGAATATTAGTTTTTAAAAAGTAAAATTTTCCAAAGTAAATCTTATTTAGCTTTTATAAAATGAAATATTTCTACAGGTGTCCCAGTTAAAACTTCGCGATCTTATATCTTGAGAACGGATAGAGATATTGATATTCTATAAACACCATTGTTTTTAGCTTGAAAGATAAAGGTTAATTTATTTCATTTTCAATTATAAAATATATACAGTTATAAAAAATAAATAAATATATATATCATTGTAATAGCAGTTTAACGGTCTATCAAAATCCGTTAAATAATATACATCGTAATTTGAAAAGAATATAAGTGTACGTTGCGAAGCTGACGCTATATATGAGCCATATTTGCAATGTACCAAAATTAGGTTTTCCCGTTCAGGCTACAAACAATCGCGTTTTTGGAATTTTAATATCTCTTTTTACTTCCTGAGCAAAATAGGGCCGATCCGACCAATCGCTGCTTTTAAATTTTCTAGACGTTTTATGATCCCTAAAGTGCGAACAACTGGGTCTCCCGTTTCCGTCTGTCTGTTTGTGTATCGTCTGTGTCAATTTTTAGTAGACAGATAATCTCTAACACAACTGGATCGATTGTTTTATATTTATGTTAGGCATATCGTGTAGATAATAAAACGCTAAACAAAAATTGTCTAATCGTTGCCACCAACAATGCGATGATGTCATCTCCAAAATTTATAATACTAAATATTATTTAAATTTTGTAAAATAAGATACTCCTGCACTTGTGGTTTATGAATCCGTGTTTACGTTTTACTCTAGACGCCCAGATTTTTGGAAAAAAATTAAAATTGAATAACATTTTACAATTTAACTTTGAAATTGCAAAATTGAAATATTAAGGCTGTTTTACTCCCTCCCAAAAAATGGACGATATTTCAAAAACTAAAATACGCAAATATTATGACTACTTCTGGTTTATCAGTGGATTCATAGTTTTTAATATTACGTATACAGGGTGTCACAAAACAGTTAATGAATTAGCACATTGATTTTTTTATCAAATCAAGAACTGTTCACCCTATTTATCCAAAAATGCTAAATAGTACTCTTATTATTAATACATATTACACTGCACATATTCGAATTGATATACGTGTCCTTGATAAAATTTTGTTACGGTAAAACTCGCTTGAATTAACGCATAGCATGTAAGGTTTATCATTAAAAATAAAACTTGCAAAATTAATTTTTATAATTTACGAAGAAACCATATTCCTTGGACTGTACTTTATAACCAAGAGAAGTTCTGTCGAAATAATCTTCGACCAATTTTGTATGTAAAAGATCAAATTTTTTTGAAAAAAAAATGAAACATGTGCAAGAAAATTTGGAAATTTATCTTAGACAATACAAATTCTAGACATGGTAAATTGCTAAACAAAATTTATCTATTTATTCTCTCCAAGACCTTGATGACGACATCTCAAAATTCTGCTGAATTAATCCTATCTAAATTGTGCAAATAATGGGTCTACACTTGTGATTTATAAATACACTGATATTTTTCTTAAAAAAAAGTTATTTATGTGAAAAAAACACCACCCCAATTGCTGTGGATTCTAGCTCACAGAATTAGTTTATGCATTCCACAAAAATTTTCATTTCGGCACCTCAAAAGTTTACCAACTAAATCCCACTTAAGATATGTAAAATATTATGCTTCTAAAGCCATAGTCCTTTTTTATTTGGTATCTAAGTATATACCAATTAAAAAAGGACTATGGTAACGTCTATACGTTACCATTAAAAACTAACTAGCTGAATCCAAAAGACTAAACCTTCAGCTAATTTTTTTAAAGAAAAATAAATCAGTGGCTTGAATGTGCAAATTGTCGAAAATATACTCGACCTGCTAAAAATTTTAAAAGTATCGTCTGCATTAAAAAAAGTCGTTTCATTATTTTTAATATCACTAAGATGGGACTGAATACATAGAATTTTACTAGATGTTTTGCATCTCGTGAGTTCTTGTTTATTTATGAAAATTTTGGGTTATTTAATCTCTACAGTATGTTGTTAAAACTGTCAATCCAACTTTCTTTAAAATGGCGTAAAAACAGAAATGGAGCTTAATATTTTACCATAATAATAATCTTTGGACACTAAAAATTTCAAAGGAACTACTTCGACAATAATTAGTAATTAAGCAACAACAAAACACCAAATGAAATAATCGTCAAAATAACGTTGAGAAACCACTAATACGATAATTTTCAGAAGTTTTTTATTTAGTGATAATGTTTAATAATTCAAAGAATGTCAGCTCAGCATTATCATACTGGTAATTTTCAATTAATTCTATACAGACTTTTTTACTTTTAAAAATATTTCATGTCGTTACCAGAAATTAATTACCAATTATATAATTTACGTTAAAATTCGGACTGTCAGACACAAATACTGGTAATGGTATTTCAAGTTGATATTTTACCTCAGTTAATTAATTCACTGTACTAATTGGTTCTAGTGTCACTGATGATGAAGTGGTGTGTGGATATAAATAACCCAAGAGCACGATTATGAATATATATTATTTACTGCGGCTTATGATTATAACGATCACGATTTTTTTTTAATATGTAAAAAAGTAAAATCGTGGTAATTTTTCTCCAACCTTCCAAATCCTACGCTATATGGATACGATTTTTTTATAACAGTGTTACTTTCTCAAATTTCCGTATAGGAAAAGTGAAAGTGAAAAAAAATCGATTTCATAATTTTCTTCGATTTTTTATTGTCCCATTGAACTTAGCGACTTCAGAAATTTCTAAATTTTAACCACAAAGTGATCGGTTTAGGTTAAGCTGTGGTAATTCACAATCGACTTGTAGCATTACCACACAATAACAACTATTTTAAGAGTTAATCGTACCTGGAAGATCCGATTCGAATGTAAGCCTGCCAAGGAAAAGTTCCAAAGCCCGCTTCTTCACCTCCGACAATCCTCCTTTGCGCTTGCTGCCTACTCGACGAAATACCACATCCTGCAACAATCTCTAATTAAAATAAAGCCAGTCAGGAAAAATCCAATAATTGCATTATTTACATGTGAAAAGTTAACCCAAGCTGCGTTAATTGTCCATAAACGTGTGTATTAATGAAATCATTAGTTTTTTCCAAAGCGAAAGTTCAGCGTGATATACTGCTACGACAATCACTTTCTCCGTCGAACATCTCTGTATGAAAACAACACCCCATGCAACACTTGACCCCGGCACATGCAACTAAGCGTTCGGTACCACTTACGATAATCGGCGTCAAGCAGGCTGGATTTGGGGGATTCAGGGGGTGCCTCGAGGGTACCGACCGCCAAGTTTGCGCTGTGACCAGTCTTAGAAGCTCCCCGCTGACAGCAGCCCCTCAGCAGGCCGTCGCAGGGGGACTCTAGCAAGCCCCCGGACAGCCAACACGTTAGGAAAAATTCGCACGTCACCCCTGAAGCGCACCCCACTATCGTTCCTAGCAGTGCATCAAAGTGTTAATATTCTGCCACTTTCCAAAACATTCATCTAGCATACGCGGAAAATGTCATGAATAATCAAAAGCTCGCTATTTAACAATTCACCTAACCTGACCTGACCTTATTAACCCCATTCTCAATCTCGACCGACGAAAATGTTGGGAGGTTTCACGATCTGCCTAACATTGGCCTAGTTGTTAGTTTTTTCTCATGGGTTCAAGAAGTTTTGTTCTGGTTGTTGTGAAACTGACTTTTCTATCGAGGTTTCAGAAAAACCCGGCTTAAGAGCGTGTCGACCTTGAGATTTCAAGTTCAATTGGAAACCGAAAGTGTCCGATTGGAAACGTTTACGAAGACATTGAGCTTTCACGTAAAATTGTTGCATTCTATTCGGATAGCAATTAGCGTTCGTTTCATGAAAGTACGCTATAATCATATTCCGGCGTGTGCCAAATAGAGATAAATGCATTGAAGAAAGTGAAACCAGCTAAACCAATAGAAGTGTTTAAGCGGAAAAAATAAAGACGCTTTCTTCAATATTATCATTCAATGCTCTTACGTTTGTTATTTTAATAAGTCGTTACATAAAAGAAATATGTTAAACTATGAATAGCGGTTACCTCTGTCTCGAGTGTCTTGCTCTTGAATGTCCTGCAAATTGTTGTCTCCGGCCAACCAATCAGGTTCTTCCTGATTGCCGCTAGGCTCCCTAAATGATACTAAATCCGAAGGGAAAATCACTCTTGGTCGCCTAGAACTTGCCCAAGGGGCTTGCCAAAAGGGCTCTCTAGCCGTAGGAGGAAACCCTTCAGGATGTCTCAGTCTTCTCGGCAATCGAAAACCAGAAACTTCGTTGGGTGGCAAGCCTGGCCTACTAGGCCTGTTGAACAGACTCCTTTCATCCGAATAAGGATGTTCCGGTTCGAAACCTTCCGACGAAAACCCACTGGGCTCGTATTCTGGTCGAAATCGATCACCTGGGAAAGTTATGGGTTTCCGAATGGGTTTGAAAGGTTGTTCGTCGTAAGATTTACGACTTCTGATTGCCGGTTGATAATAAAACCGCCGAACTGGGCCGAATCTGTGGGAATTAGGAAGACTAGGTGGTAAAATTTCCCCTATGTGTTCGTCCCGACTCCTCTCAACAGTGTCGTCCCTCCTGTTAATCGTCTGCTCGACCTGTTGGTCGTGATTCCTCTGGTACGTCTCACCCCCATGTATCAACAAATCAATCTCGTCCTTCGATAAAATCTTAAAGTTCTCGACGTAATCCTCTTTGGAAATTCTTTCCAAGCCAGAGGAATTTCCTGTTATATAATCCGGTTCTCGATGTATATGCTGCTCGTAAAGTCTGAGTAAAGGTCTTATGAAATCCTTCTCGAGTAACTTCTCATATTCCGTTTTTCTTTCTCTTTGGAGAAATCGGTTGATGGCGTCATGATTCCTCAGCTCCTCGTTATCACTTTGGGGAATTTTGGTCGCAGTTTCTTTTTCAGATGACTCATTTTTGACGTTAATTAAATAATCGCCTTCGTTGTTCACGGTCCTGTTCTTCGGAAGATAGTTGATGAAGGCCCCTGACGGTCTCTGAACTGGAGGGTCAGCTGCATGTATCAAGAAAATACTCAAAACCAAAGCCAAAAGTCGCGAATGTATTTTGTTCATTCTGACTCTGTTCCATTTATTTTTCACCCCTCTTCAGTGTCGAAGCGCCGTACCCTTAACTTAAATTCTCATCCTACGATTAAACCTAATATCACAGTGCTTTGCTTATGTACAGGTAGAGTTCGTACTTAATGCATCTTTCGGGTTTTATTGTTGCGGTTACTTTGTTCGGTGTTACAAAACCCAACACAAATCACTGCGACACATCACAGGCACCGATGAACACTAGGGGCCGACTGAAGCACGAAGACGTCCATGCTAGAGAGTTAACTTTCACACACTCACCACTTTCACTTCAAGAGACTTCGCTCCCCATACAAACAACATGCAAGTAAAAGATTCACGATTCTTTAGTGCATAATCATAATTAAAGGCACAGATGCTGGCGCTTGCAAAAAATGCAGATGTTGTTGAGGCGAATAACGAAGTTACGGGACTGATTCAATCTTGCAGAAAATTATAATTGGGACGACAAAGAAATCGGATGCACGGTCAAGTTACAAGAATTTTCTCGTTACGCTAATAAAATTATGTGACGATGAATTTTAATTAGATACTCTTAGAAGGATCATCTTGTAAGATTTAATTAAGATTATATTCCAGTGAGAATTTTTCATGGTTTTTATAGCGGATTTGCAATTTTTTTCATTTTATTCATAATTTTAGATTAAGTGAAATAACAGACAGATTGATTAATTAGACAGATATTTCAATAGGTCCATTACGTATTGTAGTAAGTAGCATTTGAAATTAATTCTCTATAAATAAATTACTGATAAGAAGTGGATACAACACTTGAGTTTAAATTTTTCTAAACAATACAAACCTTACATAAAAAAATATTTCTATGGGTTTTTTTAACATGACACAGAAGTTTTCCCTGCAACTCTTACTTTAAAGCGTGAGACAGAGCTTTATTTCACACAAAATTGACACAAACGAATACACTCCCAAACAAACAAATTCCGTCTTTATGACAATGACTTTGAATTTACAAGGCAGAGGCGTACCGGACAGATTTGGTTCCCCGTGACACCTGACCTGTTACTTTGTTTTTTTATTTTTATTTTCTCTTATTGTGTATAGTTATTACAATAGCATTTCTATTTATTTGTTTTTTGATTATCGCTTTCTGTATCTCAATAGCCACCTTTGCGACTGGCCCCTTATAAACTTTCCCAACGTCCTACGGCGGTTCTGACCCTACATTGTACGAGACAATTATACGTCGGTTTAGTTTATTCTCTATAACGTGTTCATGTTTTTGTAGAATTGTAAAGCTAAAGTTACGCAAAAATGTTTAGGTAATCGGTTGGGTAGTTTCAAAGGTTGCTGTCTAGTAAAGTACCAATACACAAGCAAATGAAAAAAAAGACGAAGTTGTAAGGGTTCTATTTTCTTAGCTCTCGCTATTTTATAGCGTTTTAACTAAGGTATGTGGGAATATTTGAAACACAATAATGTTAAAAATGAATTTTACGACCAACTGCACTGGTATAGCTTTACCTAATTAAAACTAAATAAATTATGAGGATTAATTGTATGCAAACCAATCTTTTATTAAATTTAATTTGCTTGGTCTTAAGGGAATCTTAAATCTAACTAACAATAAATAAGTAATAAAAGCTATACTTTAAAAGAAATGTGAATTTAGTTTACAAATTAATTAAAAAATTAAATAGCATCTGTCCATAAATGTATTGTACTTATTCCCTAGGTAGTTGCCGCAGTGCATATTTAGTACAAACTTGTTTATAAGGAAAGTTAATTTGAAAGTGAATACTCGTTTTCAAATAAAGTGAAAAATCACTTAATTCTTAATTAATATTAATTCTTATCATTCCCTGTAAACATATATAGACTGTTTAATATTTTTTAGACACTTGCATTTGTGCTTACCAGCGTCTGTAAACTCTAGAAAAACAAATCATTAAACAAAAATATCCCTAGGCAGATGAGCAAGATGAATACATGCATGTAAACAAATTTTGAAAGAAATAGTCTTTCCTGACGCAGTTCTCTTCCAGTTCAATCAGAATGAAAAACACGAGAATTCATTCTTTCATAGGCAATTTGTTACAGTCGTAAAATCTAATTCTTAGTAACGGTGTTCAAAATATTTACGTCTTGATAAAAATTTCCTTGTTTTTATAAAACAACTTCATCTGAAAGAAACTAATTCGCTTTCGAGACGGAAAGTTACGATACTTTAATAGCCTTGGAACATACAACAAATGCATAATGTCGTCACATTTATTCGTTAAAAGAAATGCTGAAATTTTCCTTAAATGAGACGAAAGTTTACTAGGATTTCTATGTCTAATTGCCTACTTATCGTTTGCGTGTCTTTCTGTTTTAGTTAAAAATTTTATTAGGCAAATAAGCTTGGAAACTACTGAAGCCAGTCACTTTGAACCAGGGGCGGCTGGTCAGGGGCGGCCACGCCTTACCAGTCATTTTAAAATACTTAGTAAGCGTTGAAATTAGAAAATAAAAAAACAAATAAAGTTTGAATGTACGTTAGGATAGATCATATATATTAAAAATATATTTTATTATATTGTAGGTACAAAATAAAGCATTTGTTGCTAATTTTAAATGCTGATAAACACGCTTTGCCGGCGAGATTTCGGCACGCCGTATCCAGGAATGCATTATGCTCGATGTTTCGACTTCGTAGCAGCTTACGGTTTCATCGTTCTCTTTGTCTAGTACACTGTAGTAGACAAAGACCTGGCGGAACGTATGTTGTGCCAGGTCCGGCGAAATCCTCCTTCGCCGTACCCAGCAACGCGAATTTAGTTTTTAAAACGCTTAATATTTAAAATAGCTAACCAAATTACAAAACAATAACGGCTTCGATGTTCTTCAGTGCATACTATTTTTTTTTAATAATAATTGTCGATTTAATACATTTTCCTGTGTATGAATAATAAACGAAAAAAATTACATTAAATTATCTAAAATTTTATTTTTCGTACATAACTTAGCTACAACATAAATGCGCTTTTTCTGTATTTTTAGCATCTAAGCGTTTTCAGATATTTCAGAAACGAATTTAAAGTTTTAAATCATTTTAATTTTTCAATTATTCAATTAATTTATTTGACAATTTGTCATATACATTAAAAAAAAAATAAATGTAAATGAAGATAGTTAACAGTTGGTACTTTTATTATTACTTTTTTATATATTTTTTAACTGCATGTCATTATTTAATTATTATTATTTAATTATGGATGTCCGGGGTCGGCAAGCCGTATAGCCGCCGGTCGACGCGGAACTCAGTAAAAATAATGTTTTCGGTGGTTCTCAATTAATGATAAAGCAGAACAAGTAGAATTAAGGATTAATAGTATTTGGAATCAAACTGACATTGTCAATTTCCTATAAAAAATTATTTTAACAGGTCGAAACATTTGAGATGTTTTGTACATCCTGGCACGTAAAATGTCAGTGGTTAATGAGTAGCAGCCATACATTACGAAAATATATAACACCAAGGTGTAGACTCAAAATATTTGGCCGACCCGAAATTTTGACCCACCAGCCGCCACTGCTTTGAACTTTTGGAGACATTGTAGGATTATTACACCCTCTAAACTGTCAAAACGTAGTTTCAAAATATATATTATTAAATCAGTTTCGTTTGCATATGCACAGCGAGTTTTTTACGTGCGATTTTCGTTATGTATATTTTACACGTTTGTAAAATAATCGAACTTATTTGTTCATCTTTGCACACAACATCCCAAAAAATATGATTGCGAATTTAAACTCTGCATCGAAAAATATTTCTCGAACGATAGGTACTCGTAGCGAACTGAAATTCTATAATCAGGTGAGCGAATATCTAATTTCGTGTTTTCTTGGTATTTGAGAGCTTGGAGAATACGGAAATGCCGGTTTTCTATCTTTGTTGTACCATTTCTCTGCAATTTTTTTGGTGTAGGAAACAACCAAACCGATACTTTTTTTTTAAGTGCGTTTAATATTTTTGGGAAGTTTACTAAAAATATGTATAGTTTTGGAAATTTCATTGTACCCTATAAAATTTTATTGGCAATAACGAGACGGACAGTAGTACAATAGCAAGAGAGATTTACAAGAAGTTGTCGCGTGCCGGTAATCCCCAGATGTTAGAAAGCAGAATAATCTAGGTCCGGACAGGGACCATCGTTACTCATGAACGGAAATGACCATTATTTTATAAGTACAACTACCTGCTAAATGGTCTCAGACAAATTCGAGTGAACTGGTGTGAGCCATAAATATTTCTTACCATTGTACTACTGTGCGTCTCGTTATCGTCAATAAAATCTTATTGGGTAGAATGAAATTTCCAAAACTATACACATGAATAAAATGACAACTTTTGAAATAACACTGACCTGAGTTGACCTAACCTGACCAGACCTGAAATGAAGGCGGTAGCGCGTTTGAAAATCCTCAAATCTTCAAACCCCCAAAATCATTAAATCACTAAATTTTCAAACCTACAAATCTTCAAAATCTTCAAATTACCAAATCCTCTAATCTTCAAATAAACAAATCCTCAAATATTCAAATCCCCAAAATTTTTAAATCACTAAATTTTCAAACCCACAAATTTTCGAAATTTTTAAATTACCAAATCCTCAAATCTTCAGATAATCAAATTCTCAAATCTTCAAAAACCCAAATTTTCCAAATCATTAAATCTTCAAACCTACACATCTTTGAAATCCTCAAATCACCAGATTCCCAAATCTTCAGATAAACAAATCCTGGAATATTCAAATCCCCAAAATTTTCAAATCACTAAATCTTCAAACCAACAAATCTTCGAAATTTTTAAATCATCAAATCCTCAATCTTCAGACAATCAAATCTTCAAACGCCTAAATCCTCAATTCTTCAGATAATCAAATCCCCAAATCTTCAAATTCCCAAAATCTTCAAATCACTAAATTTTCAAACCCAAAAATCTTCAAAATCTTCAAATCACCAAATCCTCAAATCTTCAAATAAACAAATCCTCAAATATTCAAATCCCCAAAATTTCCAAATCACTAAATCTTCAAACCCACAAATCTTCAAAATCTTTAAATCATCAAATCCTCAATTTTCAAACAATCAAATCTTTAAATCATCAAATCCTCAATCTTCAGACAATCAAATCTTCAAACGCCTAAATCTTCAATTCTTCAGATAATGAAATCCTCAAATCTTCAAATCCCCAAAATCTTCAAATCGCTAAATTTTCAAACCCACAAATTTTCGAAA